TGCATCCCTTTGACGCGACGACAACAGTTAACACACTCGAACGTTCGTCACGTTCTCGGCAGCTGAGATATCTAGTCACATGCATTTGTGGCGCTTCCAGATGTGCTACAGCGTATGTGATTAAACCAGACGCATCCGTAGACGCGGCGGCAACAGCTAACGCACTAAAACGTCACATGCGTTTCTGTATTTCTGGTGTGTGGTATACAATATAATATAAAGTGCATAATAATGTGTGGTAACCACAAATTGGAATTAAGCAGCTTTCGAAATGAAATACTTATTTCTGCTCCATTGTTTAAAATAACTCACCAATATAATTATGGTGTTAGCTCTCAAATATCCTAAGAAAGTCGATATTGTTACTTGTCTTTTGCTTAAATTATGTCGAGTTAAGCGATGGAAAGAGTTTCTCGTATCGTTTCCAGACACGACGTGACCGTGTATGTCTCTCTTCAGTAGTATCACTGCGTCCACTTGAGTCAAGCGATCGGCACAACGTGTCAAGAGAGTATACGATCGTGGTGTCTGGAATGCGTTCTAAGTCACGTCCTCTTTGGAAAATAGACGACACGATTGGATTTCTGAAACGACGACATTGAGATCCTACCTCGCAATGTTTACGTGTCTGAAAAATATTTTGTCGGCGACGTTTATGTGGCTGAGCATGAGATTGACAATCGCTGCGTGCATTGGACTCAACCGCACCCGTTGCCGATTGTACATCCCTTGATTTAGTCTCTTCATTGCGTGTAGCAGATGAAAAACCAGTTTGACTAGCTCGATGTACATTACTACTAACCGATATGACGATTTTCGATGGTGTACTGATTGGACGCGAGTTTTTGGATGTATTTGCTGGCGGAACACGTATTTCCAGATTATGTTTAGCATGAGCATCAGTGTCTCGATTTGCAGGTATACTTATCGCCACTGGCGTCGGCACCAACGTTGCTTCTGACTCTGTTTCCTCATCGGTATCTAGTACTGCATGAGCACACGCCGATAAAATGTTCACATCATCTTTCGTTGCCTCTGATTCTTTCTGCGAACTGGGTATGACTTCAGCTTTTTTTTCCGTCGAAATCATATCATCCGATTCTTCGCTTTTTTGAGAAAGCGTACACTTTTTGTCATCAAAGTACCTATCTTTTGACGAATCAGTAGGTGTTATAACCTCGTAGTCGAAAGCATTCGCCTCTTCGTCATCGTCGATAGCATAGTGAATCACCATAGTTGCTTGTGATGACATGAATTCCTCTGGCGCGAGCATATCTTCTATATCTGCATTTTCTTTCTTATTTTTAATCTGAGCCAAGTTCCGCGTACGATGTTCATCCCTCACGATCACCTCATTCATAGTTGTGCTACTTTCTGAGTCATTAGTTAAGATATCTACGGTCAACGTATTGACCAATTCGCTGCTTGTGGTTGACGTTTGTTTTTTAGCCGCTTGACGATGGGAATTCGGCGATGCGTGAGATAATAGTGTGAAGACTTTATCTCCCTTCTCTTGTGCACCATCAGACGCTGTCGTGTACCCCTGTCTCTGTTTTTGAGTCGTGTCATTGATCTGAACGTCTTCAATCATTATAGCTTCTGAGTGTACACCTCGCTCGATTATATTGTCCGCAAGATCAACGGCTTTTTCTTCGGCATCGCTACCACTGAAGTCGCTGTCTGCCACAAATGTCTTTTGAATATCCTCCTGTTGAAACTGAAACCCTTGGTTCCTGTGAATTCCACTCCACAAATTCTCTGACAGCATCACTGACAGCTCCCCCGACGAAGCCATCGAGTCATGAGTCGAAAGCAAATCGTCAGCTCCAGAATTAAAGAGCTGCGATTGCGACAATGGCACCACTCCGTTTTCTTCAATTAACTCCGAGTCTGTAGGGTGCCTTCCACCAACAATTGGCGGACCCCATTCCTCCTGTTCTTCCAGTTGCTGTTTTTGATCCTCTGGAATCACACAATCCTCCTCTAATAACGGTCGATTTTCGTCGAATCTATCACTCAAATCAATCGGAAGCGGCAAAAGTCCTTGATTAATCATCAACTGCTTTTCAAGCTCTACGTCGCTTAGCTTCTTTAGCCTTTCCAACACTAGCGGATGACTGTACACTTCCGGACGCAGTTGAACTGCCAGCTCATTATCCTCGACAACTGTTAGCGCGTCCACCCAAAGATAAACTCTAGCCGTTTCTGTACTTCCGTAAGGAACTGACACAGACGTCTCAAAGTTCTGCTGGTCCGTCAATCGACATCGTTTCAACGTGGCAAAGTGATACTTGGTCAAGCGCACGACGCTTCCACGCAAACATCCGATGGTATTGTAGCCGCAATTCTTTTTCAAACAATTTATCACGTGACGTGGAATATACGCCTCAATATCAAAGTCGCGGTCCACAAGCGTCACAGTCTGATGCAAACTGTTTGTGCGGCGCACAAGCATGACACGCGATGGAAGGGTCTTTACAGCAAATTGTGATTCTGTATCTTCACTCAATTCCTCCGAAAAACTATCAGTTGGTTCTGTCGCGGTTCTGAGTGGCGCACCTAATGACGAGAGTAGCTCCCGAAGCAGAAACTCGGTCGCAAAGCTCGATCGAGGTGTCATTTCTAATTTCTTTTTTGACTCGCAGATTTGAAGCCACTTTAAATTTCACATTCAAATGCTAACTTTTCAATTACCATTTGTTTGTCATGAATATGGTAGGATGGGGTCGCGTCGCTGCACGGGGGCTGCACCCAGTGTGGGGTTCATGTGTTGCTTCAGTGCCTCGTGGTTCCATGGGACTGCGCTGTAAGGCAGGTAATCAGTGTTCAGTGACAGCCAAAACCGCAGGGATACCATCTGCACTCACATCTAGATCGACTGCAGCGATGACCTGCAAGAGCAAGCGTGGTCGCGTCTTGAAGTCACGATCAAGTGCTTCTGCACTTATTAAAAAATCTCAAGTGGGCAAGTTACTGAAGCTGAATCAAGGCAATGGTCAGCTCGGCGTGTGTAGAACATTATACATTCGCTGACTGCTACTATTGTTGTGTTTGCTGCTTAATTGGCAGTTCTGAAGGCGACAAAGAAAGCCGCGAAAGTAGAATTGAAAAAAAATGCAGCAGCACTAGAAGCTGAAGCAAATCTTCGACTGCGTAACTCGCTGGTAAGAATAGATGGTATGATACAATGGCAAGCTTTGATGCGATGTCGCGTGATCTAGGTGCTCCGCTTTAGCAACGAAAACTCGTATCTGAATTGGGCAAGAAATGGTGTGTTATCCTCGGCTGTCGGAGTCGCAATGTATGCACAGGAGCATCACCGAGGAGCTCAGCTGAGTGGTGCAGGTGCGGTTATTGGCCCTAATGGAATGAAAATGAACAGTGGCGCTAAAGTTGATATGCTGACAATGTGGTCGGAATCAGGTTTGCTTTTGCTGGGCTTTGGTTATATTGGAGTGGGTACTGCAAAATATATTTACTATATTTTCCGCTTTCGCCACGTTATGGAGCTGTCTTGGGCAAGCGTCTTCGGAACGATTTCTCACGCAGCGTGGGGGCTGGCCATATGGCTGACTGCTATTGCCTCCTTTTTAGTACGTCTTGCGTGTCAACGCTTTTCACAACCTTAGTGACAATGATGTGGAAAACGATCGACAGGAAAGTGTACCACTTGAGCTGGATGCGATGCTGCTGACCGAACCCATCGCGAGTTATTTACCTTTTCGAATTCGTCAAGGTTTAATTGAGACATATAGTCTCCATCTTGATGATCTTGAACATCATAATGACGAGCAAGAGCGTGTAATGCGAGCGATTCGCGGTGATCGGAGAGCCCCAGATCTGGCAAACGTTGAGGAGGGAGAGGAATTGCCCCCTCAGCTTGAAGCACAATTGATTGAGCAACAGCTCCACACAGCCCCATGCCCAGCAGTCATGAGCTCTTCGCCTCCTCCGCTTTAAATATTGTTGTAATGGTTACTCAACCTGAAATAACGCGAATGTCATCCATCTAAAAGAATGCAAATATATTGATTTTGTTACTTTCATCGAAATGAGCGCCCCTCCTGAAAGAATAACTAAATTTTCCTCTTCCTTTAAACTCTCGTTACTCAACATTTCAGCGCTTCCTCCAGCGGAATATCGAAGTCTGGATTACGGCGCAATGTCTTCCCATCCCAAGTTAGATTAATTGGCTCGTAGGCGCTTTCACCCTTTGCAGCCTCGATTATGGGGGCAGCCATAATAATGTCGCTTTCCGGAGATTTCGGAAGCGTGAGACCGTGGTCCACAAGGCCCTTTAGAATAGTGAGAATCTCCTCGTCACTCTTGTCGGCTACCAAGACTTTCTTCTCCACGCCCCAGTCAAATCGTGCGTACACAAAGGGCTCCATCTCATCTGCCTCGCGATAAACAAAGGGCGTTCCCGGATTTAACATCTTGAGTTCGCTGTAGTTCTTGCGAAAGAATGTGCTATGTATGATGAAGAACACAATCACGCGAACGTCAGGCTCCAAGAGTGACGTAGATGAAGAAAATTGAAACGCACCGTAAACCTGCGCTACTTTGTGACGTGTCACATGCTACAAAGCGAAGCTCCCGAATGCTGCGAGAAATCTGCGCTCGCCAGCTCATCGTCGTTTGATTTGGAGCCGCACAAATTTTATATCGATACCATCAAATTGAAGCATATAAACTAACGTTAATTTTACAGTAAAATAGCTATACAATAGTAAGATGCTTTCGACTACATAACACCACAGAGTGCTTCAAATGGACTTTCAGTGTTCTCCACCATGGGTGATTGATCACGTCGCCTATATCGATAACCTATTTGTAGATTAATCACTACTACTATATTTGTCATGTACGTAGTTATTGATACAACTAGGTCAAAGTTCCTTAACTCAATTCACCGAGATGTCGGCCTTCTTCGGTCTCACTCTCCTCGGCTCAAAAAGTCCTTTTGACATCGTGAGAGAAACACCACTTCACACCTTTCAGGCACGAGACTTTCAAGACGCCTTTATGCAGACTTACCGACCCGGTTTCTCGGTGTATTCTGAAAGCGACGAGGAGGAGCAAGCTGCGATTTCCGAGCTTGAAACTGCCACCATTCAGCTTGCGCAGTTGCCAATCATGCTGCGGTACCTTTATAAATGCCCCAAAGGCGTCGACAATGTTCCTAATAGCGTTCGGACGCTCGTTATGCAAGCTTTTGGTCATGCATACGGCGCTGACGACTCATTGTTAATTACTCTTCCCATATTTCTTTCCCAAATGGACGAACTCTGTCGCACTTCAAAATCCATGGATTCCTCCAATTTGCGAAGTGCGTATTCAAAAGACGGTCCGCCAACCCGTGAGTTTGTGTCAAATCTCGAATTTAGGTCCAAAATGGTTAAGCATCACCGTATGGAGAAGGATCCGCGTGAAAAGGCTCTTGTACCCATTTCTGACTCCATGACGCTTGGCTGGAATTCACCTACGTTGACCACAAAGCGGATGTCGACTAAAAGTTGCGAGGAGACGCGTTACGCCAGTGCTATGATCAAAGCTGGTGTCTACTATTACTAAGGTCTGATGTCTTTCGATCTCAATAAAAGTAAGAGAAATTTTAAACAATGCTACTTAAATGTCAAAGTAATTATTAAAAATACTTAGATAGAATTCAAAACCACCAACAAACATTTAGTGATTGAGAGCAATAATTGTTCAAGCTTATCTGGAGGCAGTCTAAATACGGCAATCTATAAATAGAATCCGTATATTCCGTATTTGGTTTTTTGAAATGTTCCGCTTTTCAAAAAATCTTATCTCCGTCACGCAGTTTCGCCATACTGGGTAGTCATTTCCGTGCTGATTTGCT